AAAGGAGAGAGCATGGAACTTAAGAGAGAAAAGAAATACGCTTTCCCTTTCTAGACCTCATCAGGTCACAAAGGCCTATTAGTAGCATTAACATTAAGTTTAGGAATCTGTTGACATTGGTAGCATTAACATTACATGTAGGCATCTGTTTAATTGATGTCTTCAATTACATGCTCACATCCTGGTGGGACTATCTTCTTGGTCCAAGAGTCTTGTCTCTGTCAACACACTTTTGTTTGCACTGGCAGGTCTTTTCCCTGCCTTATGCCTCCCTAGCCTGAAAATTAGGCCTGATAGCCATCCCAATCTCATATACAATATTAGCTAAGACTACAATTTTTTGTTCCATGCATCTAAACTAGTATTCTGCTCTTGTCATGACTTCAGCTTTTTTTTACCTGTGGTCTTGCGTGTGGCAGAGAGGCTTCATGAGTAGTGATAGCAGGAAGCTTTTGACTTGCACAGTCTTCCGAGGGTTCATAGGTTGGACCAGCAATAACTATACCTACTGAAATACCAGTGTCAGTCTCTCATACTTCCTTGTACTTTGCCTTTGGCCAAAGGAGCACCCATGCACAATGCCACATTTATGGCTTTTGGGGAATTATTGGTATCCTTGCATTGTTCCTATCAGCGTTGCAATCCATGTCTCCTCTCTCCTCCCACTTTTAAAAATAATTTTAGAAGAGTGTATTACAATTATCTTTGGAATGTTTTAATCATATCTCGGACAAGCAAGTACAAACAAAAAACTATAGACCCTTTGCATGTATCTGCCTTATCTTCAAATGAGGCAGTAATGTTTTCACCTACTGGCTTTGCTTGAATGAACTAAAAAAATGCTCCTAAACCTGCTAAACAGAATTGCGAGCACAATGAAAATAACTTTTGAGAAACTATGGCATTGTCCTGAACAATCTCAGTGTTCTTCATACTGGAATACCTGGATTTTATGCTTGACCCAAAAAGCAAGACTTAGACCCTGACAGTGTGGCCTGGCAAGTGTTTGTTTTCAGCCACAAGTATCAAGATTGGATTGTTCCCAACCACTTTACACTATGCCATTTACTTTTCCGTTAACTGTTCCTGCTACAGTCGCTGCTTTATATCCAAATAAACAAAAGTGTTTTTCCAAAACTAGGTCTGAAGATGATCTTTTCCCTTCTAAACAATATTAGATGTAACTTTCAAATAGGAATCCTCATATATCCCCACTAATCCTTGTTGAAAAAAGGCAATTTTATTACTGTGTGCTGCATTTTCCAGAATTATACAGACTTTCAGTGTAATCTCATAACCTGGCCTGTATAGTGTCAAAGTAGCACTCAGTGATTAGCAACAGGCAGTGAAGGTGCATTGAATTTCTGAATATGAAGTTCCAAGTCAACACCTATAATATGTTCACAAGCGACAGAAGAAAACATAATGGCAAAGTGGATATAAAAAATGATGTGCGCTTTACAGGAATTTCACTCACTCAAAGGCTTGGGGCTGACAGGCTTGATGCTTGAACCGTTTTCTTCAGGGTTTCTCCCTGAAGAAATTTGAATTCTCCCAATTTCCATAGGAGCACTATGAATGGCAAGTTTTCAGCCTCATCTGCTTTTCTGTCCTGCTTTGAGAACCTTTCCTGTCTGTTACATGAAGAGGTACAGTTCCTTCTCAAAATACTTTCTTAGCTGAAAAACAAAATAGGGTTTTGTGCTTGTTATTTTTCTTTTGCTTATGGAGGAAAGATTTATGTGTTTTCTGGACCAAAGGAAAGCAAATATTTGAGCAGAAGATGTGTGGTCAGTATACCATCTATAATCTTCCTTATTGAAGTTACAGTTGCTTGGCTAAGGGCAGTCTTGTGTTCAGAATTCACAGTTGCAGTTAATGTTGCAAAGTGTTAGTGCTAGCTCTTCTCGGGAGCCGAGTTGAATTAAAACAGGTTTTAATTCAACAGAATCTGGGTGTGTTTTGATAGACCTGAAAGTAAACAAGAAAGGAATACAAATTAAAATATACAAAACTGAATCCTTAAGAATCACCGTGGACTCTAAGATTTAGAAGAACTGGTAGATCTTGTGAACTCAAATTCATTTCTCCTCCTTCACACCCAGAATATCAGTAAGAACTTGAATGAGGTGATTTGGTCCCAGGGCACCATATACCTTCTTGACTTGGCGTGCTATGTTTTATTTACCTATTTACAAGAATGCTGGTCAAATCAGCAGGGTACACCAGCAGATGGGCTACTTACAAGCTAGTGTTGAAGTGTGCAAAGTGCTTCATTGTCCTTTGGTTTCTGTCTGTGGTTTTGCCTGGAGTCAGGGAACTTTTGGAAACCTCAGGGAAGCCTCTGGACCTGAAGCATCAGTTGGGCTTGGGGGGTTTTTTGGTATTTGTTTGCTTGGAGTGTGTTGGTTGGTTTGGTTAGTTGGTTTGTTTTTCCAGTCTTTGCTTTAGTGAAACAAGCACAGAATTTTGCTATAGCTGAAAGGTACTCTGAGATGAACTGAGGTATGAAATTTAGTGTACTACTGAATCCTCAAATCTTTGTGTGAGGTCTGAATTCTTCTTTTCTACAAGTTATTTTATGCTGTAGTTCTGCAGGTACAGGCATTTGAGATTGTTTGTTGAACAAGACTGGAGAACTGAATTAGTTTTCAAGCTAGCCTCTTTTCTTTTGAATAGAAGCCAGGTTAGCTTTACACAAGTGCGGTTCCTTGATCTCTTTTACTACATGGCAGCACCCATGTTTATGCCACTGCAGTGGAAAGCTGTGGCGAGTATATGACCTGAGCAGCCTTTAGTGTCTGCACTAAATTATGCTGGCTTTAACTTTCCATAACTATGTGTTTACCATGTTTGTGCAGTCTTAAAGGTTATTGAAATTCTGATGTTTGTTTTCTAAGGAAATAAGATGTTAACTGAATTTCACAGTGAGTAAGGCATCCTGTTAAAGATGTGGCATAAAATAAATCTGACATGAAATCTTACTAGGCTTTATTTCTTTAAGCCCCAAGCATGTAATCAGTAGCATTTGGATATAGCGGAATAAGGCAAGGATCCTTAAAGCAAGGTAAGGACAGAGGAAACAATTCACTGGCAGGCATTGTGGGGAATGAGAAGGTGGTAATGGCTGCAGTGGTGCCCATCCATTTTCAATGTTTAAAACTACTGTTCTGAAAAACTGATGACATTACAGATATCTGAGAAAGAATTGTTACAGGAAGCCATCTGGAGATAATAGTGTGATTTTTTTTTTGAGAAAGAAGCAACATGTAAATTAATATTCTAATTTATGACTCTATTCGTGTATTTAATGGTATTATTTAAATTAATTTGTTAAACTTGCAACTTTTAAACTTGCTTTTTTTAGATCACAAGACCATACAGCTCAACAAGCAAACACCTCTGGGAGTACTGCTACCACATCAACATCAAGCAGTAGTACCTCAACATCAGCTTCAACAAATAGTAGCCCTTTTGGCTTGGGTAAGAATATTTGTTAGGTGGCATGGTGGGTGTCTTCTCTTGGATTCAAGGTGATTGTCCCTGAAGCTTTATTCTAATGCGGACAGAGCTTTAAAAAAAAAAACAACAAGTAAACAAACGCACCACCCCAAAAAATGATTACAAATGTCTGTAGTATTAGTTGTAGAAGGTTTCTCGTCAGTAAGTTATCAGAGGACAGTTGTTTCCTTAATTGTTATGCAGAACTTCAGACTTGTGCTGTTTCACCTTCAGTAGTAAGGTGCCACTGATGTTATATTCTAGTACTGTGGGTAATGAAACTCCTTTCAATGTCCTTGTGCTCCGTAAAAGTGTATCTGAATTGCTGTGAGGAGAGTATTGATGAAGTTGGACCTGTAACATGAAGGCAAGATCTGGAACAGAAGTAGCAAAATTGCTACTAATATTACAATTCAGTGTTTCTCAGGTTCCAAGTCTGATGGTATTAAGAGTCTTCTCTTGCATGAATAAAGAGGCTGCAGTCTACCAACTTACGAATACTATCTATTTCCACAATCACAGTGGAGTTTTTGGTTCGTTGTTTTTCATCTCATTTCCTTTTGTGAGGTCAGGGAGAGGTAGAATTGGAAAGCTAACCATAGTAAGCAATTGCTTTTTTAGGTGTAAACAGTTCTTCAGACTGACTGGTATCTTCTGAAAGTCTTTGTTTGTACTCAAGAAAGGAAGGGAATTCAAAGCATGATTAGTTCTTGGTACATTAGTAAGAAGAGCACCTCTACTTTTAATTAGAAGAGGAAATTTGAGTTATATTGGGACATCTCTCTTGGTATACTCTAGCCAAGAGGAGACAGCTAAATGGTTATTTATAAATGCACTGTGTTGGGGGCGGGGAGAACCTAAGGCTCCAAAACTCAAACATCCCTTGTATCTTAGTTGTGGAAGATGAAAGGATAAGCTGTTAGAATTGTAACAATTTATATTTCGGATGCAGTTTGTTGGATTTTTATTTATGTGTCTTGTTATTTAAAGAACAGTCTTAGTGGATAACTCCTTAACAGCTTTCAAATATGGAGTTTTCATTATTTTGAAGTGTGGGATATGTTTAAGTATTTTGTATTTAGAAAGAACGTGGATGTGTTTAGAAGTATACTAGAAGCTAAAAGTTCAATTATATTTTTTTTCTCATCTTCTTAAAGGTGGCCTTGGAGGTTTGGCAGGTCTGAGTAGCCTGGGCTTAAATACATCAAACTTTTCAGAGTTGCAAAGTCAGATGCAACGGCAACTTCTGTCAAACCCAGAAATGATGGTTCAGATAATGGAAAACCCATTTGTTCAGAGCATGCTTTCAAATCCTGACCTGATGAGGCAGTTAATTATGGCTAACCCTCAAATGCAGCAACTGATACAGAGAAATCCAGAAATCAGTCACATGCTGAATAATCCAGATATAATGAGACAGGTACGCAGAAGGATCTCTGTAAGTTCGTGACCTCTGATTACATTGTAGCTGTGAACAACAAAGTAGGAATTGGACATGCTTAGTTGAGTACTTAAACATTCTTGAAGTATTTAGACTTGTCAGACAAATCCATAAAAGGTTACTGTAGGCAGTTAACTGATGTTTGTATTTCTAGTTGTTAATTGTTGTTGTTAATTAATTGACTGATAATTCAAAAAATCTGCAGCATAGTTTTGAAAGACATTGAAGACTGTGTAATCATGTCTTCTGAGGGTAGTTAGATGTCCCTTTTTGCACTTGAAACCTTGCATTGTCTCGCCAACAGTGCATTTACCAACAGTAGTAATTCTCCTAAACACTAAACATTTTCATTTTATCTAGCTGTGGGTACTTCTGTGTGCTTTTAGAATTAGATGGTATGTAAGATATGCTCCGTGGCAGAGGGGTATCAAAAAACCAAATGGATACTTTTGAAAATGTGGGCATTTATTTTAAAGGTCATGTTATAGAAAGCCTGCTGTAGCAGTGTTAGAAATGGTAGGAGTATATTGTGCTGAAAAGATGAAGAAAGGAAAGAATAGTTCATGCAAGGTTTTTCTTCCGTTTAGCAAGTGCTTCCTGACTCAACCAGCGTAGTGATGGTTGTGGTAGTATCCTGACTAAATATCTAATTCATTTGACTCCCACTAAGCTGACATCTTGATTTGACTTTAATCATAATTTGAAACTTATTTAGACAGTGGTAACTGAGATATTGACAAATGCTGACATTTTCACTTTTGAAGGGATTTCTTATTAATACATATTAAACATTCCACTTCCCTAGACACTAGAACTTGCTAGAAACCCTGCAATGATGCAAGAAATGATGCGAAACCAAGACCGAGCCTTGAGCAACCTTGAAAGTATACCAGGTGGATACAATGCCTTGCGACGTATGTACACAGATATCCAGGAGCCAATGTTGAATGCAGCACAGGAACAGGTAAGAAAAGATTGCATGTGCCACTGAAAGTAAATTTTTAAAAAAAAATAAAAGCACGTAAGTAACGTAAGTTTCCAAACGTACTTGAAAAATCATTTCTTGAAGCTTTAGGTCACTATGTGGCCTCTTACTTTTGAGAGGAAAGATCTTTAAAAATTCTGTGCTTTTCTAAGCTTGAAGAAATACGGGTATCACTTTGTGTGTCTGAGAAGCTATTTTGAAGTTAATGGATTTCTGTATTACTTAAATTTGAATTCGTTTAGTTCTTTGCCTTAAAATTCTGAGGTCCAGGAAAAATTTTTAAGGGTGTGTTTAGTAACTTGGAACCTAAGATAAGCAGAAAAAAAGGCTTTGAAGTTGGAAACCATTATGCAAGATGTGGTCTTAATGTGATCAAAATAGCTATGTAGTAGCAACACTGCTTTCAAAAAGAAATGTGATTTAATTTTTTTGGAGATGCTCAATGTTGTATCCGTCAATATTGGCATCTGTTCAGAATATTTACAATGAATTACTGTAGGATAGCGAGTATAACTGATCAAGAGCCATGAACATTTACCATCATGTGTAGTTTTGGAAAGGTAACTTGCTATTTATATCAGACTTAAAAATGGTTGGCTTTAGTAGATAATGCATGTTTGCTTTCCTTCCTCTGTAGTTTGGAGGTAACCCATTTGCTTCTTTAGTAAGCAATGCATCAGCAGGAGGGGACAGTCAGCCATCTCGTACAGAAAATAGAGATCCTCTACCAAACCCTTGGGCTCCTCAGTCCAGCTCCCAGGCTTCCACAACAAGTACCAGCACCAGCGGAGAGAATGGTGACAATAGTAATGCTGGAAACAGCACCTCTGGCAGTATGGGACAGAGCTCAACTGTACCAAATTTAGGACCTGGTCTAGGAGGTGTGTTTGTTATTGCAGTTGTATATATTTGTCACATACTTAGGAGTTTACTGAAATCATTCTTTCATTTGAGAGTTTTTGATTCAAAGTTTTTATTGCTATTTACTTTTGTAGAACATTTGACTAATATCAACGTCCTCTGTAGAAAAACATGAAGAGTAAACTGAGATTAATAATAGTACTTATTTATTGCCTTAAAATAACAAAGGTAGGGAATCTCTAGATGAATTATAGTATTTTTCCTGTCTGGAGGCAAAGGCGAAAACAGCTGATAATGTCGATACTTAGTGGGACTGCTTGTTGGATACAGCCTCTGTCTTGTCTTCTACGGTAGATGCGTCTGTAAGCAGAACCATATTGAGGTGTATTTCAGGGGCTAAAACTCTTGGAAACCAAGTGGTTTTACCCTGTTTTTAGGTAGTCTAATTTGTCTAATAATAGTCAGAATGTTTACTAAAGTGGCCTTTACTTTTTTAAAGCTGGTATGTTCAACACACCAGGAATGCAGAGTTTATTACAGCAGATAACGGAAAACCCACAACTTATGCAGAATATGTTGTCTGCACCCTATATGAGAAGCATGATGCAGTCATTAAGCCAGAATCCTGATCTTGCAGTACAGGTAAATGCATTTGGTATAGTAATGTGTTGTGTGCTTTGAAGTAAAAGAAAAATAAAAAACGCTGAATCTAGAATACAGTTAAATTTTCACTTGTGCCAACATCTCAACAGTTATGTGAATGGCCCAGTTTTTAATGTTAATGCCTAACTCACTGAAATTATTACCTTCTTACATTTAACAATTTGTTGCAGTGAGCCTCTTCAGTTTGTAGTTGGACATTATGCCAGGCATGCTTCTAAAATAATTTGTAAGTTTGTGTATGTTTCGTGCAGCCCTAAACTTGTAACCCAGCATGATAAACAGACAAAACATGATAAACAGACAAAACAAATGCTTTGGTTGTAAATTAAGGTAGATCTGTCAGTAAACAAGTACTCCCACTAGCTTGGGAGGAGAGACTTGACTAGAGGGGAGTTTGTGCCGTATCTAGGCATTATTTCGGTTTTGACTTCTCTTTTGTGACCCATGCTCACTGTAAAAGTGAAGATGCTGTTTTATGAATGGTATCATAGCACTGCCTTCAAATTTTACTTAAAGCAGCAATATCCAAAGTCAAATCCTGAACTGACATTTAAAAATTATCTTTTCTGTATTAAATATTCACTGGGATATTTAGAGGGAAACTATCACTTAGGTCTGTAGTGGAGGCTGAGCAGAAAAGGATTTTCTTGTAATGTAAATCAGGTTGTCTTGGGAAGTACCTGGCAATTCATTCATTTAAAAGATTTAAGAAAACAACCAAACAAAACCAAAACAACAACAAGAAAAACCCCCCAAAAAAACCTGCAATGTGTTCAGACTGGTGTTTCATAACAAGTTTTGGGCAAACGAGAAGTAGATGATGATGATGATGATGATTGTTGTTAAAGTTACTTTCATAAACTATTACTGTGTAAGCAGTTGTGTTGGAACCCCCTGTGGTTTTTACTGCCTGATCTTTGAAGTTAAATATTTTTGTCCTTTAGATGATGTTGAATAATCCTTTATTTGCTGGAAATCCTCAACTTCAGGAACAAATGAGACAACAACTTCCTACTTTCCTTCAGCAAGTAAGATGAGATACTAGCCGTTAATAAACATCTGCAAGTCAATGAGCAATGTTTTCAATAAATTAGTGTCCCTTGCTAATGAATTCTTGCTTAATGTCTCCATCCCTTTCAGAAGTTAAACGTGACTTCTAGTGGATATTTTGTCTGCTTAGATTTGCTCTTGCTTCTTTGCTTAAAAGGAGTAATTGTTCTTATTGTGCAACGGACAGAGAATACCTGTTTGCCACATGATTTGTTTTGCAAATTAAAAATATTTGTACTTTTCCCACTACTAGAATAAAGTTTCGGTATGCTTTTCTTGTACCTCTTCAAACCTGCTTTAAGCATTTCAGTAAAGAGATTTTACAGCATGCCTTGAAAGACTCAAGCTATTAGCTAATTTAAAAGAAGTGGGTTCTGAAGTTTTTTGCCTGTAAAGGTTGGCCTTCCACCATGTTTTCATTAACAACATTGTGCTTGCAGCCCAGGTATCTGCTTGGTATTAGCTGCCATGGGTTGTAGTAGCACTGTGTTCTCTAAATAGGAGCAAGATTTTTTTTTTTTTTTTTTTTTAGGAATTGAGAACTTAATCCAGTGCCTGAGTTCCACCATTAGGCAACCCTCACAAATGAGAGCAAATGTGTATTGCCAAGATGAGGTTGCACACAGGGAGTTTTGAGTAAAATAATTAACACATACATGAATTACAGTACCAAGTTCAGTGTTCAGAAGAAACTTTAAATTGTCTCAACCACATGAATGGCTGTAGTGTTTCATAATGCCCCTGCTTTGTGATGACTCAGGAGGGGAGTAAACTCTTTGAAAGGGCCGACAATAGCAGGACTAGGGGAAATGGATACAAGTTGAAGGAGGGAAGATTTAGGTTGGATGTTAGGGGGAAGTTCTTTACTAGGAGAGTGGTTAGGCCCTGGAACAGGCTGCCCAGGGAGGTTGTGGATGCCCCGTCCTTGGAGGTGTTCAAGGCCAGGTTGGACGGGGCCCTGGGCAACCTGATCTAGTAAATGTGTATGTTTGGTGGCCCTGCCAGGCAGGGGGGTTGGAACTACATGATCCTTGAGGTCCCTTCCAACCCGGGTCATTCTATGATTCTATCTGAAGAGCTGGTACCACATTGTATGTTTTGAAATATGTGAATAAATGGTAATTAATGAAGGCACATTAGGAATATTTTCTGTTTCGTTTGGGTATCTCCTTCTGTCAGTATCACCTTGGGGTTTATCTGCACAGCTAGTTTGCTGTTTTATTGACTGTGTTAGGTCAGATGATCAGCAGCATTAGCAGCTGAAGTAAACTGGAGAAATAGGTGGGTATTGTCAGAATGTTAACAGTATTGCAGCTCATACTTGCTTCATCTACTGGCATTTATATGGATTGGGTGACAGAAACCATGTCATGTTCCTGTGCATAATGGAAGTCATCTCTTGCAAAAAAGGGCAATTGCCCAGCAGAACTAGGAATATTCATCTGTTGAGCTACTCCATCTGCAGCTTTTATACAAGTCTTAACAAGAATGGCTGCTACTTAACAGATGGAATTAATAACATTTAATAGAGACAAGATGCAGGTCACCTAAGTGCTCTGAGAATTGTTGGCCCACCATTTCTGTAAAACAACTCCAAATATCATACAGTAAGTCATGATTTAAATATTTTCTTAAGAAATTGAAGCATCTTTCTTTGGAGAACCCAAAATATTTCCCTCTTTAAAATTTAGGTAAACTTTACCAGATATATATTTAGTTATTCTCTGACTTCTAGCTATCAGGAAGATAAGATTCCAAGAGCTGAATGGAGAATATTAGCAACTACTGTGTTTAAGTCTCATTATGCACCCATATTCCAGACCACAGTTCTTCATATCCTATTCTGCAGTTCTGCTTTGCACCAGTTTAACCTTAACCTGTGCATTTCTATGTGAATCAAAAACATTTTTGTAGCAAAAGGAATTTGGTCTAGTTGCCAAGTGAAGGCTGCTGAGATGAATAAGCCTGCATGCTATTTGAAGTAGGTCTGGCTACCAAGACTGTCATTTGTGACTCTGACACATTACTTTTCACTTACCTGTGGCATCTCTAAGCAGAGGTGAGCATAAGCCATTGGTTTTGGTTTTGTATCTAAAATAGATTTCTGGGCATTTAATTCAGAAATGAAAAGGATTTGCCTTTTAAATTATCTCCGGATGTGAAAGACAGTTTTTAATTGAAGTCACAGTAGAATGAGAGCCCTTGAATATCCTACACTTACGTGCAGTGTATTTGCATTTCTGTAGGCTGTGAGGGCACTACAGATACAAATAGTTTTGCTCAAATTGCTGTGGTCTGAATTTAACTAGGAAAAAGAAATATTGTGTAATCTCTTCTTATCTATCGGTCAAGTTTCATTGTGTTCAGTATTGTTGTCTACCAGTAGTATAATATAGGAGACTAATTCTAGAATGATGTTGGTGTAATACAGTCCTATGGCTTTGAAAGGTGAAGAAGTCTGCTGGAAGAGGTAATGAAAAATACTTCTCCGTGTGTACTTCTCATTTGAAAGGCTTTGTCCACATCTAGAGAGTTCATTGATCACCTCCTATGGAAGTTTTCTCAAAAAAGAAAAAAAAAAACCTGAAGGATTTAATGTAGATATTCAAATATAAAGTTGAAAAACAAGTTTGGAAATTGTGTTGGACTCTATAAAACATCTAGTGATAAAGATTAACCTTGACCATCTGCATATGATTAAGAGCTTCTCTCCTTTTCTTAGATGCAGAATCCTGACACATTATCAGCTATGTCAAACCCTAGAGCGATGCAAGCTTTGCTACAGATTCAGCAGGGCTTGCAAACACTAGCAACAGAAGCACCGGGGCTTATACCAGGGTAAGAATCAGTCTTACAAATTTCAACAAGAACTTTTCTCTTGTGTTATGTTGTTCATTCTTTAAACATGTAGACATTTACCCAGTTTTTATTAAAGACTCCTCCTCCTAACTTCTTTAGTTTAACTAAACTTGTTTTAGAATGTCTTACTTTTTTGGCTGCCATGTACTTCTAAACAGTCATGACTCTGGTCTTTGTCTTGGTACTTTACTTAAATTATCATCCACTCTTTGACAGGATTTTTACTCAGCAATTAAATAAATGAGAAGAGACAAGCTAGTATTAACAATTCAAGTGGTATATTTCTTTTTCTGTCATTTATGCAGATTTAATCTGGGTTTAGGTGGATTGGGAAGCACTGGAGCTCCTACGGGGTCCCCTGTACCTAGTTCTTTTCCCAGTGAAAATACAAGTCCAGCAAAAAAAAAAACCAGGTCACCAGCAGTTTGTCCAGCAAATGTTGCAGGCACTTGCTGCTGCAAATGCTCAGGTAAAGTTCATCAGTATATTCTAATTTTTAAAAATTCTTACTTCATTTTTCCATTGTAAACCACTAGAAAGGAGGCTGATAGTTAAAGGGAGAGCTCCCTGGATACTTCTGGTTAAGGAGAGCAGAGGAGGCTTAAATGTGCTGTTGCAGCTGTGCAAGTAAATGCTGGATTTTTCCGGCATTACCTTTGAGTAAATGTGTCCTCTGAAAACCCTTTAACTTCTGGAATGCTTGGAAAGATTGAGGCAGATTGAGGTCATAAGTTTCAGTGACAAGTGAAGTGCGGGCTCAGGCAGGAGAAAAGCTTAAGCATATTGAACACCATTAGTTCTGTGCTTTTTGACTGTATTGCTGTCTGCTACTCTCCAGCTGCGACTAAGCCTCTGTCCCACACTTTAGAGTAGCCACACTGTGCTTATTTGGAGCCTGAATTTGCTGTATCGCTTCATTGACATCCTGCAGGTCCAGACTGTAGTGCATTTTGTTAACATGCTGAGTGGGATTAACAGTTTTCAGAGAGCTCCAGAAGTCAAGCAAAGGTAGCAGCTTTGACAGTAGTTGTAGGGTGGTGAATGAGACTGGCTTTAAAGGAGACGTGCTGTTAACTCTCAAGAGCGTGAAACAGTACGCTTAAACTGTGGTACATACCCTGTGTAATGGCAGACTGCTGGTGGAATGGGCTGCCCTGCTTTTTCCTCCTCTCTTGCTACAGGGTGAGCTAGTTCAGCTTGCTGATCTGGCAGACTTTTTTTCTCTTGTAATCTAACAACAAGAAACTGTTTGTCAGTGTCACAGTAGGAAACCATTTTCTCATACATTCTCACCTATTACGCTGTCACATCTTACAATGCTGAGTCAACATTCTGTTTAGTTTTGCTTGGGGGAAGCAGTATGTCTTTACATTGGATTGGTTTGGAATCATATGCAGATTTTAAATACTGATAGTAATTTGATGCATGAAACTGTTGAATCAGAGCAAAAGGAAAATTAGCAGTAGCTGCGCAAGGTTTGTGTTGGTATCTAAATCAACTCATTGATTTAAAAAAAGTGATTTCTCAGTATTACTTCAATGTATTATTTTCCTATAATTGTTCTGATTCAGAAATGCCTTTGAACTGAAGATTGTACCACTGAAATAATGCAGAATTTTGCCATGAGTTTGTGTGAGCAGGATCATCGCATAACCACAGCTGTCAGTTCATCTTAGACTGAAGCTTTCTAATAACTAGAATTTTGGTCATTTTATTCAATAAATACTTAGAGCATTAAAAAAAGAGGTGATTTTTATGTCAAGGAGGAAAAAAACCTATGACATTCGCTGTTGCCGACAGTGACATCATCATAATCCTTGCTGTTCCACATTACTAGGCTGAACAGTTTCATTTTTAAAAAATACCTGTACACATATCTTTATTAAACTGTTTATGGGACATAAATATACCAAATTTAATTTAATCCTTTTTTTTACCAAGCAGCTTTCCCTGTATTTCGGGAAGGTCATGTAAGTGTAGATACACTTAAGTTGAAGCTACTCTGACTTGTTAAAAAAATAATTCAATTGTGAATTGAATTTATGTCATAATATAGTTTTGGGATCTTGAAAAAGATGTAGTCAGAAATCAGTAGACAGGGAGTGGTGCAGAACCAACTATGTTTAAATCCTGTACTTTGCTAAGTGTGTATTATGCTTTTATAGCTTGAAATTTTTTTCTTAGCAGTTACAAAATCCAGAAGTTCGATTTCAGCAACAACTGGAGCAGTTGAGTGCAATGGGCTTTCTGAACCGTGAAGCAAACTTACAAGCGCTAATAGCAACAGGAGGAGACATCAATGCAGCTATTGAAAGGCTGCTTGGCTCTCAGCCTTCATAGCAGTGTTTCTTTAACTTGAAAAAAATGTAATTTATTTTTTATAACAGCTCTTAAATCTTTAAAATTTTTGCTTTATTTCATTTTGACTCATGGGATTGTCTTGTTATAACTAAAATTGGTCTGATGCATTTTAAGGTGGAGTGCAGTAGTTTTCTTCAAACAGTGGGAATCTGCGTTTTCACTCTGCATGCATCACACTTCTTTTGTTCTGCATTATTTGTGATTTTTATCAGTTTTCACAGTTGGGTGAACAGGTTTTTTCTGACCTACAACTGTCCAATTTATTTACTACTTAAACATTAGCCTTCAGTAGTAATTTATGTAGAATAAAAATTTAAAAGTCAACAAATTAATTGAAGCTACAATTTGTGGATACCAATACTGCTTACTGTGATTTTGGCATGTAATTTTTTTGCTAGCAAAATGCTGTAAGATTTATACCACTTAAGTGATCTACCATTTTTTGCTTTAATTTGTATAAACACAATATATACAATGGAGACAACTCATTTCTAGAGATTTACACATTGCAGTAGAATGAGATTATAAGTAACACAAAAAAGCTGGGGGGTGGGAAGGTCCTAGGACATGTTTTTGGTGTAGAATCTTCCAGTATCTTTGATAACCATCTCAGCAAAAATGCTTAAGCAAATTCAGTTAAAATATACTAGAGTTACTGTTCTGGTTATCTCTTTACATCTTAACTGTACAGAAACTTGCATTGTAACATTGTTTCAATATTCACAAATATTAACTGTAAATTACCTTTGTTATTGTGCAAATTAAAGGGGTGCTGCCTGTGCTCTGGAACTGCTTCTAAGGCTTTTTGGCTTGTTCCATTGAGTTTTTAACATGTATTCTGATTTGTAATTGGAAACTTTACTTTCATAGTCAGGTGATATTCTAATTTCTTTTAATCATAATGTAAAAAAACCTGTATATCTTTTGAGGTTTTTTTTGTAGTTACTTCTCTTGTGCACAGGTAATAAATGAATTTGAAAAATCTTTAAGCCTCTTGTCCCAGTGTGTTGCAGGTGATGATTACCTAGAATTCAAGATGACTGACCATCTGAAGAGTTGGCATTTAAGTGTAAGCTCAGGGAATATTCACCAGCTCTGGGCTAAGATAAGTAAACAACTCCTGGGGCATGAGGTGGAGGGAAGAGAGTAAAAGGCATATAATGTTGAAGACTACTAGCTTACATAAAGTGAGGGTAGCAAAATAAAAGACACTACTGTGTGTGTTACTGAATAGCATCTGCTTTTTATTAGTCTTCAGTGACAGCGTAGTTGCAAAGATGTTCACTGAATTCCTGTATTGCTTTTAAACACTTGGTTTGAACAGTCTTTTTCTTTTGATGGTACAGTATAAATTCAGCTTGCTCTAAAAGTCATTGCTTGCAAGTAGTTTAAAATTACCTGTTTTAACTCAAAGTTGTTAATCAGTTTGGTGAAGCAACATTATAATGTGATATAAAGGAAGAAGTTGAGCACACTTCAGCATATAGTGAAATTTAAAAAATTTTTGTCAAAGCCACATATGCAGTTTTGTTGGCAGTAACTGCATTGTACCTTTCTCAGGGAAGAGAAGGTTCACTCACTGTGCAGTAATCTTGTCTCTTACTTTGCCAGTAAGTAAAATAAATACTGCTGATGCATGGTATTGGGAAAAGTTCAAAAATCTCATGGTTGGCAGCCTCTGCCTTTGGATCAAAGTCTGATAGATAGAGTAGCACAGAGTGTTAAATAAACAGAAATAAAGTAAAATGCAATCTATTGGTAAGATTAATATAATCAAAGCCTTTTAATATATCTACAGTTTGGGTACAAAATTATTCTTACTTCATTTCCTCGCCAGTGATCAGACCCATCATGGTACCTTCACAGTGACTTCTATTGGGTGGGTAGCGTTCATTGCACTGAGTACAAGGCTGTGGTAGGGAAGTGACAGATAGCAAATAGTTTCTGTAGAATAATCACTGCCATTTTACAGTTATTTTCACAGTGGCTATCTATTAGGATCTTCAAAGTAACTAATTTGACTTGACCTTACAGTGTGCTTTATTGGGACCTTGCTTTAAAAAAAGCATTCAGAAGGCCGGTCCTTTTCAGAATGCAGTCTGTAACATCCAAAAAGGCTGCTGTCAAATGAAAGGGTGAGGTGGAAAGGGAATAATTTTTACCAAGCTTTACCAACACACTGAAACAATTAATCTAACCAGCATGAACACTTTATTGAAACAACATTCAGTTCATCTATGTAAGTATTTCAGTTGCATGCTACAAACGAAGAGAAGCTATATTTGAAGTCAAATTTTATTGCAATTCAACAAGAGATTAACCTAAATTTTACAAGGAGCCATTGAGCTAAGTTTCCTTCTTGAAACACAGTTGATATTTATCAGTAACTGTTGTTCCTAGTTGACAATAGTTACTAACTTTCTTGCAAGTAGTGGTAGAACACTGAGACATCTTTTGCATAGGAGAAATTTTAGTTTTGCCAAAAAACAGTAAGTAGAACAAGGTTCATAGGTAGGATAGACTTTTTGTTACATCTTTAACAATAAAAGAAAGATCACACTTGTTGGTTTAATAGCGTATTACAGTGTTCCTGTTCATCCCCCATACTTGTTGCCCCTTTTCCGGTCCCTGTTTAAAATTCTTGAGAAGTATCATCTATCTCTTCTTTCAGAAGCAACTTTATGGTTAACTCTGAGTACTTTGATAACTTGTATTTGAAAACTGCCACTTGCATTTTGGACCAGAAATCCTGTGTGCCTGAAGCCTGTCTCTTTATTTTCCTGCTATCTTCTTTTCCCCTACATAGGACCACATGATCTGATAGGATTGTCTACAAAACTGCCTTACCCAGTGATCAAACTACTCCTAGAGAAAGTAACTGCTGCAAAAAGAGAAAAGCTGAAACTCCTGTTAGTGTGAACTGACAGGTGCTATTTAAAAGATTTAAAATGCATACATTGAAATCAAACACTATTACAGAACTACTGGGAATATGACAGCAAGATGGCTAGTTTTGTAAAGGATGTGGTCTGACGTTCTGTTCCAGGTTCAGTGTCTGCGTGATAAAATAACTGCCTCAATTTAGAGCTGAGCTGGCAGGGAGCTGGGTCTGCTTGTTTGCCTGTACAGACAACCTGTGCAGTTTAAGAGGACTCTACCCTTCTTGTGTTTAATGTATGAATGGATACTGCTATTGGGATCTATTCATCTTTATTTCGTCATTATAGCATTGCAAAATGCTTATGCTGTAGCAGGTACAGTATTTACTCAGCATGTTACAAACTGCTTAATAAACACTTTTGAGGAGGTATAGTGCATGTACATTCCGTAGATAACTTGTGCTCATGACAGACTCCAGATGTTTCCTCCTTAGTTTTTGCTGCTCTTGCTAAATGTATTTTAAAGTATGGACAGAAAACTTGCACCCAAATAACCTGAGCTAAATATAAACTGCCCAACTAACCTGAATACAACATACCTAATATAGTGTTAAGTTTTTTTTTTTAAAAAAAAGTAAGTAAATGAAATGGTGCAGAATTGTGTTTGGGCAGGTAAACGAAACTTCTGTACAGGGATTGTTCTGTGATCTTTTCCTTCTACTGCACACATGCACAGCATCATTAAAATTGGAGAGCAGTTGTGGATGACTGACATCTTGATCTTTTAATTTGTGATGCACAGGATATAAGTGAACAGAAGTAATGCTTTGTTGTCTTTCAGAATCGTGCATAACAGTCTACTTAACTGATTAAATTGACAACAACCTTCTGTGCAGTATCTGTAACCCTCTCTCAGATTGTGGTGCTGGAGTCCACAGACAGCCCTATGAAGTGTTCAGTATTCTTTTTAAGCAACTTGTGCATTCCATGTGAACAGGGTGGCAGAAGTGAAGCAGGCTTTCCCTGTAGAGAGGAAAATGCCATCTGCTCCTGCAAGCCCCTGTGGATTTAGCATTGCAAAGTTCAAAGATGTGGGACTTTGGCAAAAGTTTAAGAAAAACAGTAAGTTGTAAGAGTTTGTCCAGCAAAGTACACAAGCCTGGTCCTGTGTTGGGGAAAATAAATATAACATCAGATGGAGATAATTAAAAGCTTCCCAAGAGTGTTGCAACCTTCATTTTCTAAATAAAAAGCAAGCAGGAAGATTTTAGAAGGAAAGCATCTGTAAGAAGTTGTGTTCCTGAAGATTGCATTTGCACTTTCCAGTGAAAGTAATGGCATCTTGGTTTCTACTTGTTTGTTGAGGGGGGTGGCGTCTGCAGTTTTCTTAGCTGTGTCTGTCCCCATCTGAGATCTCCCTCCTCTTCTGAGATTCTGAGAGAGAAATGCAGATGCTTGGCATTACCTTCAGATCAAAAAATTGGTGTATGTTTAACATCTTACTGTGTTCATCTATATAGTGCCACCTGCCCTTTCTTGGAAACAGGAGGTTCTCATGAACACTAGGCCTGCAAAATAGGACTAGCTTTAGGTGCTGATAATTTCTAGTTAATGTGGAGGCTAGAATAGTGAAGGGTATTAATGGAAGGATGTAAGTGGGAATGACAACATTCAACCACCAGCTAATTAGGACATAACAGGCTAAAAGTACTGAACTCTGGTAGTGAAAACTGCACCTGTCATTCACAAGATTAACGGCATGTTAATTTAAATGGTTGCTTTGTTGTCCTTTCAGCACCACGTGAACTGTGGAAATACTGTGTTTTGCTTTAAGGAAAAGCAAAAGGCAAGTATCTTAAAAGGTTTAGGGAAGGAAATGTTCCTGTCATTGGAGAAATGAGTGAGAAATATCCCGACCTAATTTGAAGCATTACTATTTTGTTTAGAAAAGACTTCCAAATCCCAAGGTGCTTACATAGATTTCTCTAAGAGAGAATGTTTTTTCAAGTGTTGAGTACAATTTTCTGTTACTGCCAGCAACTTCATGAACATGCTATAAATGCTGACAAGTAGATCTGAAAATTAGCATCTAGTCTTTTCGGCACTCTTGAAAATGATGTCCAATTTTTTCTTTTTATTTTTGCAAGTTGATCATATTTGTTTGTGACAGGATGCAGCTGCTTTCCAATCACTGCAGTATCCTGATCTAGTTTTATTGTTTCTAAAAAATGTGACCATAAATCTATATCTAATAATGGCTATATTAGAAAAGTTCTTCATAAAATGGTGTATTGGGAAAATATGAAGACTTAATTAAAAGCAGAGATACCACAAGAGGGTGCCATTTCTTTTGATTTTCATAGTTACTAAACTTTCTACAGTTCTGATGGATCACTTGGTCTGAAGAGATGCCTAGTCTGAAATTTGAGGGTGTTAAGAATCAGACAGACATGCCTGTGTCTTGCA